TGTCAGGCTGGATGAATCAAAAGCTGGAATCAGGATTGCCAGAAGAAATATCAACAATCTCAAATGAGCAGATGATACCACTCTAATGCCAGAAAGTGAATAAGAACTAAAGAGCCTCTTGATGAGAGTGAAAGAGGAGGGTGAAAAAGCTAGCTTAAAATTCAACATTCAAAAGACTAAGATCATGGCATCTGGTCCCATCACTTCATGGCAAATAGAAGGGGAAAAAAGTGGAAACAGTGACAGATTTTATTTTCCTGGGCTCCAGAATCACTGTGGATGATGACTGCAGCCATGAAATTAAAAGATGCTTGCCCCATGGAAGAAAAGCTATGGCAAACCTAGACATGTGTTAAAAAGCAAAGACATCTCTTTGCTGACAAAAGTCCATATAGTCAGAACTACAGTTTTTCCAGTGGTCATGCACAGATATAAAAGTTAGACCATAAAGAAGGCTGAGTGCCAGAGAATTAATGCTTTTCAACTGTGGTGCTGGAGAAGACTCTTGAGAGTCCCTTGGACAGCAAGGAGATTAAACCAGTTGATCCTAAAGGAAATCAGTCCTGAATATTCATTGGAAGGACTGATGCTGAAGCTGAAACTCCAATACTTTGGCCTCCTGATGTGAAGAGGCAGCTCATTGGAAAAGATCCTGATGCTGGGAAAGATTGGAAGCACAAAGATAAGAGGGTAGCAGAAGATGAGATGTTTAGATAGCATCCTGGACTCAATGGACATTTGATCAAACCTTGGGAGATAGTGAAGGACAGGGAAGCCTGGCGTGCAGCAGTACATGGGGGTCGCAAAGTGTAGGACAGGACCTGACTGATCAACAACAACGATGACAAATATGCAGATACAGGAGGAATATCATCAAAGTGCACTGCTTATTAAAAATTATCATGAGAAAATATGTTTAGTCTATCTTGATTAATGCCAATGATATATCTGTCCCATCACAGTTTCTGAATTCTTTAATATTTTTAATACAGACTTTAAAGGTGGCAAAAATGAAAAAAATAAAAACAGAAGGAACTTGAAAATTGATGTCTCTATGAATATTTTTGAAGTGATTCAGTAACATTTAGAAATATACTAAAATGTGGATGCCAAGCCTTTTCAAAGTGGCTCATCTACTCTCATTTAGCTTTTTTATCCTATACCTTAACTTCTGTCAATGGGTGTGGTGGAGAGTTATTGAAAAGGAAAAGATGGAACATAAAGTTTAAATATTTAGGATTTCATGTTTCCAATTGTTTTAAAACATTTCACATTCTTTAGAAATATCTCATCTCAAGAGGGGGTTGAAATGATTCAGTATAATTAAAAAATAGTATAATTAAAAACATAATTAAAAAAACCAAAACTGTATATCCTGAATTTTTGAACCATTGGGATAATACTCAGTTGAATAAATCCATAAGCAAGAACTGAATTGGGAAGCTTCTGACTCTTTAACTTCTTTATTTTACAGCTATATTTTACAGGCTTCTCATTATGTTTACTTAGCCGAAAAAGGCAGTATGTATGTGTATATATATATATAAAGATATTCTGTGCAAAAATGTTATTGAAGATATCTCTGCTTCAGCCTAAATTGATTCTGAGCATCTTAATAACTATGACAATAAGTTTATGCTGTCATAACTTAAAGTATTAAGCTACTTGAAGTATCGCAAAGTAAAGAATTATGTAGAAATATATAAATCTTTGGTGAATTATATTCTTTTCAAATATAAAGAGGCTGTGTGAAACATATGTACTGTTAAAGCAAAATTTAAAATATCATGTCCAAATTTTACATTAAATATTCAATGAAACCATCAACCCAAAGGCCATATTTTTGGAGTATTTATTTGCCTCTATATGACTGAAATCTTTAAAAAGCTTATAATAACTGTGTTTCCTAGGACACGTTTACCAAGCTTTTTTGTTAATTTATTTGAACAGGAATCTCTACTTTATATTTATCCAATGATAATTCAAATAAACTTTACATTTAATTATTTTAATTTTACTCCCATTTTTTTCTAACCAATTAAGCCTAAAAATCAACTCCTGAAGTCCTATTTTCTTTATTTGTAGGTGGACGTAATAAAGTCAAATGACTACAAAAAGCAGCTGACAAATAAAATGAAGGAGGTAAACGGGATTGTAGAGAAATTAGAGCATAGACAATAGAAGGATAAGTCCCAAACTCAAATCCAATTAATTTTTGCCATTTAATATAATTCAGGACTAGTGTTACCAGATATACCATTTTTTCCCAGAATCCAGAAATCCAATCTTTAAAAATGAAGTCTCAAGATTGTATTTTATTTATTTATTTATTTTTAGTCCAAACAAACCTGTTGGGTCAATGTTGTCTTCTCTTAGACAAGCATCTAATTCCCCTGGAATATGCAGTGAGTTACTAAAATTGCTGGGTATAAAATTCATGGTTAACTAAGTAATGAAGGCTACTGGATATCCAAAATGACAGATACTCCTATTAAAGTGTGGTACAAGGTCAATTAATTCTTATTAGGAAGCCTCTTTACTGAGATTATTAAAGTATTAAATTAGTTTTTTTTTTTTTTCCTTATCTGAAGGGTATTAAAGAACTTGGATTTAAAAGGAAATAAAGCAGAGGAAGAAGGTTGTAAGCATAGGGCAGAGCTGTAAAGTTTCAGTCCTGCTGTAGCGGTAATGATGATGTGAGACCTTAGGTGGTTGTGAGAAGGAGATAAGGGGCAAGATTTTGACAGGTGGGGAATGACTGCTGGTGCTTTTATTTTGTTTTACTTTTCCTCGTTTCAGCTTCACAGCTATCCATCAGCTAAGCATTATACAATCATCATGTGTCTGACTAAATGTTAAGGACTAAAACTATCAATATATAAGTGAACTAGCAAGGATATAGCTTAGTGTTTTTTAAAGACAGTAGGTGCTAAAGAAGTCACTAAAACCATGGGAGGTATTGAGAAAAGAGATTAACTTCTATCACCTTCTCCTAGTATGTCCTGTGCATTATTATTTGCTATATAGTGCATGGTTCAATATTTTTCTGGAAATTTGTTGTTATTGTTTTATGTGTATGTGAACTTTTCTCATTAAAATTAAATAAAGTACAGGCATTTCCATTTGTAATTCTGAATGTAATACTGCTCAAACACACACAGTAATCTTTTAAATTTAGTTCAATATCCCAGTATAAGAAGTTTTTTACAAATTCTGGAAAACTTAATCTTGTTGCTGGGATCAAATATGAATCATAAAGCATTTGCTTGGGAGATAATGAGACTTGTTTTCCAAATTATTTGGAGGGAGAGTAAGATAATTCACAACCTGGTTCTGTTGTGAGTGAGCATGCACACTCAGTCGCTCATTCGTGTCCAACTCTGTGACCCCATGGACACAGACCCCATGGACACAGCACACCGGGCTCCTCTGTCCATGGGATTTTCCAGGTAAGAATACTGGTGTGGGATGCCATTTCCTTCTCCAGGGGATCTCGCCAACCCAAGGTTCAAACCCATGTCTCTTGCATCTCCTGCATTGGCAGGCAGATTCTTTACCACTGGACAACTAGGAACGCCCTCAGTAGTCCTCAGCTTTTAAAACATGTTATCAGATTGCTTCTCCTTACTTTCGTTTTTAAGTGCTTGAACAAAATAGTCTACCACCAGAGTATTTGTAGAATATTTGCTCTAACAGAGATTCACCTATGTCCCCAAGCAGAAGCTCGTCTAAGAAGGTGGGTAGGCAAATTAGTTCTGTTTGATTCTCTTTTCTAATACCTTATAGACTTTTCCATGGTCTAAAAGAAGCAGCTGCTTCTTCAACAGTTCTTTGCTGTTCTAGAATGTTTACTTCCACCAAGAACTTGACGGATGCTTAGAATTGCTGCACATTCTGTTATCTTTTCTCATCAAGTCTAAGTCCTTACAAGCCCAGGATTGATGTCAAGTTGAAGCTTTCTGCTCTTCTTATGAAATGTGAGCAGTTCAGTATATTTTTCCAAAACACTGTCTGTGAGGGCTCTTCTCTTTACTGCTCTGCCTCACTGGAGACTTTTTAACACAGTTTCCTTCTCCACAGGATCTTCCCAGCCCAGAGATGGAACCCAGGTCTCCCACATTGTAGGCAGACACTTTACTGTCTAAACCACCAGGGAAGTCTTAACACAGTTTAAGCTGCTTTAAATGATCACTCCTAAGGATGCCCAAGAAGAATTTATGTATCAAGTCTCTCATTTTGGAGGTATACATTGTTTTTAACTAAGGGAACAAGCATACAAACATATTGAAGAGTTTCCCTACAGGAAGTAAGCAGTGTGTTGACAGTTACAGGCCACTAGGTATCTTGAATATGAATCATAAAGCATTTGCTTGGGAGATAATGAGACTTGTTTTCCAAATTATTTGGAGGGAGAGTAAGATAATTCACAACCTGGTTCTGTTGTGAGTGAGCATGCACACTCAGTCGCTCATTCGTGTCCAACTCTGTGACCCCATGGACACAGACCCCATGGACACAGCACACCGGGCTCCTCTGTCCATGGGATTTTCCAGGTAAGAATACTGGTGTGGGATGCCATTTCCTTCTCCAGGGGATCTCGCCAACCCAAGGTTCAAACCCATGTCTCTTGCATCTCCTGCATTGGCAGGCAGATTCTTTACCACTGGACAACTAGGAACGCCCTCAGTAGTCCTCAGCTTTTAAAACATGTTATCAGATTGCTTCTCCTTACTTTCGTTTTTAAGTGCTTGAACAAAATAGTCTACCACCAGAGTATTTGTAGAATATTTGCTCTAACAGAGATTCACCTATGTCCCCAAGCAGAAGCTCGTCTAAGAAGGTGGGTAGGCAAATTAGTTCTGTTTGATTCTCTTTTCTAATACCTTATAGACTTTTCCATGGTCTAAAAGAAGCAGCTGCTTCTTCAACAGTTCTTTGCTGTTCTAGAATGTTTACTTCCACCAAGAACTTGACGGATGCTTAGAATTGCTGCACATTCTGTTATCTTTTCTCATCAAGTCTAAGTCCTTACAAGCCCAGGATTGATGTCAAGTTGAAGCTTTCTGCTCTTCTTATGAAATGTGAGCAGTTCAGTATATTTTTCCAAAACACTCTCTGTGAGGGCTCTTCTCTTTACTGCTCTGCCTCATTGGAGACTTTTTAACACAGTTTCCTTCTCCACAGGATCTTCCCAGCCCAGAGATGGAACCCAGGTCTCCCACATTGTAGGCAGACACTTTACTGTCTAAACCACCAGGGAAGTCTTAACACAGTTTAAGCTGCTTTAAATGATCACTCCTAAGGATGCCCAAGAAGAATTTATGTATCAAGTCTCTCATTTTGGAGGTATACATTGTTTTTAACTAAGGGAACAAGCATACAAACATATTGAAGAGTTTCCCTACAGGAAGTAAGCAGTGTGTTGACAGTTACAGGCCACTAGGTATCTTGATTAAATTCGCTAATGAATCTTACTTTTCTTCTCTGTACAATTAAAACAGTAAAGTGTGTTGGGGTGTTGAAGTTGATGCCATTTTTAAATGTGTGAAAATATTTTTACAAAAATCCTGTGTCTGTATCATGTAATATTGAAATATTGTTGTGACTTTTTACTATCTCATTTATTCTTTGATAATGATGGCTTTGTTATGGAGCAATTGAAGAGCCTAGTTGAATACATATCCCCATAAAAAAAGGCAGTAGGAATTCCAAAAGCAATAGCAAAGATACTGGGCTTAAATGTAATTTGCTTTCCCATCTCACATATTCAGTCCTGTCTTTAAGGATCTTCTGACATAAGCTAGTTTAGTGTGAAAATGTTGGTAGTTTTTCTTCTTAATTTTGACTCATAGGGAATTGAGAAGTATCATTCCAGTGGCATTTAGAGGAAGCCCTATAGACACCGAGTAGCGTTTAAGATGATAGCACAGCTATTCTGCCTGAATTTTAAAATGTCAACCCACATATATCTCATCAGTATATATTCAGGACCACTTGCTGCCCTTTGAAAAAACAGACTGGAGCTAGAACTATTGGCAGGCCTTGATGTCATGTGCAGCAGCAGAACACCGCTTGCATAACAGCGTTCACTTGATTGGCTCCTGCTCTCTGATGACCTTGTGGAGACCTGCAGGCTTTGAGATACGCTCTACAGAGAAGGCAGTCAGGGCTCCCGCAGCGTAAGAGCTCTTTGTTTTCTCACTGTACCTGGCTGCTTCTTCAGTGAAGACTGAGCGACCTCATTAGGAGCTATCCTTAAAACTTCCAAGTTCCGTGCTCGCTTCGGCAGCACATATACTAAAATTGGAACGATACAGAGAAGATTAGCATGGCCCCTGCGCAAGGATGACATGCAAATTCGTGAAGCGTTCCATATTTTTGTAAATCCATGGCTAATTCATGTCAATGTATGACAAAAACCACTACAATATTGTAAAGTAATTAGCTTCCAACTAGTAAAAAAAAAAAAAAGAAAGAAAAAAAAACAAAACTTCTAAGTTCCTGACTCCATTCTTACTCATAACCAGCCATTTCTGAATTAATTATTGATATTTTTTCAAAGGGATGATTTTCCTCAGTGGTTTATATAGATCAGTTCTATCCTGAATAGCATAGCCATGTTCTGCTATAAACACCAACAGGGGAAAAGTTAGAAGTATTTAGTTTACTGTGGTATCATATTCAGCTTTGTCAATTCAACAGTTTAGAAAGTTGTACAGCTTCAATTTTCAAAGTACAAATAAAAACTTAAAAAGAAAAAAATCACTATATAATATATGTGAATTGTTATACTGGTTTTTGTTGCTGTTATTTTGTGGGATTTTTGTGAAGTATTCTTCCAGTGTTTAATCTGCACCCAGTCCAGGACTGAATCCTATGGTAGATCTAAGAAAGAGAGACAGAAAAAAAAAAAGAAAAGAAAGAAAGAAACAGAAATAAAAGAAGGAGAAAGAAAGCAAGCAAAGTCTCGCCTAGAAAAAGTTTATCATTTAGTAAAAGAATCCACCTTATAAACATGTAAAACAACTTGAGAAGGATCTATCAATGCCTTCTGATTTTTTTTTCTTATGTTGTTTGCTTTATTTTCTTCTTGTCTCACTCAAAACTAGACTTTTTGAATTACCATTTTTGAGCATGGAGGGAAATAAGGAAAGGAACCAAAACAGTGATATCTCAGAAAAAAAAAAAAAGGGTGGCAATAACAGAGATAGGCTAAGTGGAGACAAGTGCTTTATTTATAATACTTTGTTAATGTATTTTTAAAGGTTGAGATACTGTTATTGTGCAATTATGATCATTCACTATGTAGGAGGTGTGTGTGTGTGTGTGTGTGTGCATGTGCATATGTTCATTATATTAACCTTCAATAATAAGAACTATCTTCACAGCAGCAAATAATAGCCTTTGAGTTACAGGTGTTTTCCTTCCCTCCGATGTGTCCAGTCATTCAGAAACAATCCAAAATTTTAGCTGCTTGAGTACCCTAGCTGTCACTTCTTCAGCAGAGTATCTGCATGCAGAACAAGCTCACTGCTCTCTAATTTTCAGTGACCTCCACCTCCTCCTTTGTCTTTTTAACTGATGTAAGATCTGACTAACAAACTTTATTATTGAGAAAAGGAAGAAGCAATTAACTAAACATATAGACAGTCATCCAAATGCTATGGAAAAAGATAATCATGATCTTCTCAGGCACTTACAGGAGTAATTATCAGGATAAGTGCAGCCCTGAGGTGGGGAGGTTTTGCAGAAGCCGGTGTGAACAATCTGGGCCATGGACCAGACAGGGACTGAGTCTAAATTCACATCCATTGTAAATATTTTTAGCTAGGCTGCCCTTAATGAGTGTCCTGAATCTCATCTTCAGTGGCCTTGGGCAGCTTTTTGTTATTCAATTGGCTGAATGGAATTTAAATAACTCACTAAATAAATAAGGGTTTTTAGTACTTTGAAAGTCTATAAAAATAAACTAGTCTATTCCCAGCATGAGTCCAAATAATTTTCTTTTCCTGTTTTTGTGATCTTTTGTTTATCAAAATTATCCTTTATTTCTTACAGCCTGACCTCCATGCCTCAGATGGGTACAGATCAAGCAGTGTATGAATACAGTGAAGGTGAGTGGGATTTGTATTTATTTTCCTTACTGTTATTTCTTCTTCATAGTGATTGATTTATTACTTAAATAGGAAAATGGGATTGGAGCACTGATAGCTAGGCGCTAAAGAAAGAGCCAGTAAAGATGATTAAAAAGATGGAATTGTCTCCACTGGATGATAATGATAAAAGAAGCCTAGGTTGGTAAGAACATAGGAATGAGACCATATAGTGTGATGGTGTTGGGCTGCCTTGCACAATCCTGAGACCAAAGAAAGAGTCCAGAGTCAATGACAGAAACGTCAGTGATTCATCGGACAGGGACTCTCACAAGTCAGAGGCAAGGATCCCAGAGCTACATCCTGTCGTGTACTACAGATGGCAGATAGGACACAGTTGCAATATCTGGTACCCATGGGAGGAGGAGGCTGTCTGTTACAGAGGGCATAGCATCAGAAGACTCCTTGGTTGCCAAGGGGAACTGCGGGAACAGCCTCCACACAACTCTTCTGGGTTAGTAGCTGTTGCAAGGGCTGCTATCTCCAGCTCATGACTGACTATACTGGAGCCATTTTGGTCTGAGAGCTAGAACTGCAGCTGGGGTTCTGGCCTATCACACAGGAAGTTACTGATTAAACTTTCAGCTCAGAGTGAGGTGGGGGTGGCGGGGTGGGACCAGTCACTTAAGCCTGAGGCAGTGGTCAGGCAGAGGATGCATAAAGAGTGATAGAACAGCCATTTTATGAGGACTGATAAGGCTTTGACTAGAAGAAAAAGAACAGGTCTGAAAGAAACCTTGAATTCTATTTATTTTTTTAATCTAAGAATGAAGTCACCTTAGGCAAAACATTTGACTTAGAGACTTGCTTTCTCTTGGCTCCAAACTTGTGCCCAAGCAGTCTCAATGGTTTATGATAATCAAATGAGATCATGAGGATTGTGTAGTAATTTTCACTATGCCTACATGTTTACTTGCTATTTGTAAGGTTAGAATTGCTTTGAGAAGGTAGGAATAAGGAATTTTGCAGAGAGAGATATGACATTTTTTTTTTTTTTAAGTAACGCAGTTTCCTTCACTTGAATCATGTGGATAAAAGAAGCTCTTACTCTTTTAAATCCAAGAAAAGTACTGTGGTCATTCCTGCTCTAGTTTTTAATTTCTTATGGCTTCAGCCAAAGTAGTTAGTAGAGAAGGAAAATTCTTTGAGATGTTAAAATGGAATTGAGAAGATAAGACATGGATATAATTTAATTAACAACATATTTATGAAAGTGTGTTCTTAAAATTTAGTTTGAAAATACACATGGACTTCTTTCTCCCCCTTCTTCCTAGAACATCCTTATTTAATATTGTTCATGTGATCTAGTCACTTTTCCACTGTATATGTAGGCTATATTTCAAAACAAGACTCACAGATTTCTGCAGCATCTAGGCAGAGTTTAAAAGTCCATGAATTCTTTCCAGAAGACTCTCCTGTTACCCATTCCTGCCAGGCACTTATGCCGTGTGTAATTCCTGTAGAATTACAGTTTCAGCTTGTTATCATCCCTGTGTTTTCAGATATCACTCTTAAGATTCCTCATAATTTAATAAATAACTCTTGGAGATGGACAATTTATTGAGAGAGACCCAATGAATTCCCAAAGATGAAATCTGAAGCTCAGTTATAGTAGTTTGAAAAATATTTTGGGACTAGAAATCATCTCACATAAAAAATCTCCAAACTATATCACAAATATCCTAAGCCTTCCTCGCTCATGCTGACAGCTGGCTTGTAATTCATTGTTTATAAGAACATGGTATTTCATCAAGGAAATTAATATTCTTGAGATGATTCCTTTAAATAACAATAGATATTTATTGTTGACATTCACATAAATTATAAAGGAATGCTGGTGCTTAAGAAATATAAGAATTGAGAAGATAAGACATGGATATAATTTAATTAACAACATATTTATGAAAGTGTGTTCTTAAAATTTAGTTTGAAAATACACATGGACTTCTTTCTCCCCCTTCTTCCTAGAACATCCTTATTTAATATTGTTCATGTGATCTAGTCACTTTTCCACTGTATATGTAGGCTATATTTCAAAACAAGACTCACAGATTTCTGCAGCATCTAGGCAGAGTTTAAAAGTCCATGAATTCTTTCCAGAAGACTCTCCTGTTACCCATTCCTGCCAGGCACTTATGCCGTGTGTAATTCCTGTAGAATTACAGTTTCAGCTTGTTATCATCCCTGTGTTTTCAGATATCACTCTTAAGATTCCTCATAATTTAATAAATAACTCTTGGAGATGGACAATTTATTGAGAGAGACCCAGTGAATTCCCAAGGATGAAATCTGAAGCTCAGTAGTAGTAGTTTGAAAAATATTTTGGGAGTAGAAATCATCTCATATAAAAAATCTCCAAACTATATCACAAATATCCTAAGCCTTCCTTGCTCATGCTGACAGCTGGCTTGTAATTCATTGTTTATAAGAACATGGTATTTCATCAAGGAAATTAATATTCTTGAGATGATTCCTTTAAATAACAATAGATATTTATTGTTGACATTCACATAAATTATAAAGGAATGCTGGTGCTTAAGAAATATAATTTATTATTTAATGCAAATTGCATTTAATGTTAGACTAATATCACACATCAAAGATGCATTTCAGTTGAGATTTAATCTTATTATTTATAACACCTTGCGTTTGTTCTTGCCTAGTTGCTTGCTTTTATAATATGGATTCTCTGTGCACTAAGCAAATGTGCAATGTACATATAGAAACTAAATATCCTGATTGGATTCATGTAGTGATTTTTGTCCAGTAAACTCTCGAGGACATTATCCATATTAAAGATAATATGGATATTATCAGTATCCATATTAAACTACTATCAGTACCAATATAAACTACTATCAGTAGAAAGTCAGCTGGCTATTCGCCTTTAAAGTAGGGTAGAGCTCTGTCTGTGACCTTGAATTCCCAATTGAGAGCATAATTATTTCAATTAATTTATTCCTCTCCTTCTTATCCTTTTGTGGTAATTGGATACACAAGGTGGTAGAGACTGCATTATTTACTCGAGAGAAGCTGTTTTTCTTTCACGGCTTAAATATGTATTTAGGATGTTCCATCAAATACTATTTCCTCAGGCTATGATACACATTGTAATATACATTTGAGAAGCTTATTTAAAAATCATATCATGGTTTCTAACTTATCACATGCTTCTAACTAAAGAAAACCTTTGGGTGCTGACTTCTTTTGAAAATGAACACAATTTCTCTTATAATTTCTGACAGTTCATGAACTATGTAGCATTTTTATGTTATCTTTAGAGATGGAAATCTGGTTGGTGGAAGAGGGTGGGGTTTTATCTTGAAGTGATGTTTAAAGGGAAAAACACATTATTTTTACTTAGAACATATATATAGCTCACTATAAAACTAGCAACATTTTCTAAAGATACTTTTATTATCACTTTTCAAAAGACTACTCATTAAATGTATTATTTTATTAGGAGTAGCTCTAGCAAAAATGATCAAAACTGGGGGAGAAATAACTAGAGTTTTCTCTCAGTCACCCATCTCCAACCACTAATGAATATGATTTCACTGCAACTCAAATTTTATGTCTAGCTGATAACCTACTATGCCTTAGCAATTAGGAGATTTGACTCAAAAAGTATGTTAAGAAAGATCTCTTTTGAGAGAAAAGAAGTAGTTATTTTTTTATAATATATTTGTATATGTATGTATAATAGGTTCTTACTTTTCATTTAATAGTTCATTGTGTGACACATGGACATGAGACAATTATATTTTTACTTATGTGAACTATTAAAAGTGTTTTTAATTAGCCAAGTAATAGCCTGCAGAGATAGTTCACATAATCTGCATACTTAAAATGAACAATTTAAAGGAAAGTCAATAAAGTCAATTTGGGGTTACTTTTAAATAATAAATATAATGTAACTAAATAATAATTTAATTTGTAATTAGTATTGATTTTAGAATGATCATACAGGTGATGCTAGACCTTCTGAATAAATTTTGAAAAGTTCTTTTCTTTTCCATCGAGTTCTTCTTTTCTAGTAAACTAATTGTTTGGAATACAGTTGATTCTCTTTTCCCAAAGTCCATATTTGTGAATTAGCCCATTTGCTAAAGTTTATTCGTATCCTCAGCAAGGATACTGCTGAGGTACTTTGAAGACGTGCACATATGTAGAGTGGCCAAAAGTTTGAGTAGCCACACAAGTCTGAATGGGGCAAAGCTCTGCCTTCTTGCATCAGCTCTCAGACTCTAAGTGCTGTCCTTTCTGCAGTCTATTAAGTGCTCCACTGTTCGTATTTTTGTGCACCATGCTGGTGATATTTTGCTGTTTACAGTGCCTTGACAAGTGTAGTGCTGAAATGCTGTCTAGTTTTCCAAAGCTCAGGAAGACTATGGCATGCCTTATAAAGTAACTACACATGTAAGATGAGCTTCTCTCAAGTAGGACCTATAGTACTATTGACTATGAGTTTAATGTTCATGGATCAACAGTATATTAAAATAAGTTGTCATTAAAACAGAAACACACATGATATAAAGTTTTGTATTGATCATTTGACACTGTGACCCAACAAGTACCTAACTTTCTATTTTTCCTAGGAGTAGTGATTCATATTCCCTAGTTTAGAATTCCATGCAACTTCATAAATCATAACTATGCAAATAATGAGAATTGATGGTCCTTGGCTTACACTTCTAAGCACCAGTGACTTATGTTGGCAATAGTTTGCTTTACACAGTTCCCCATACAAGGCCTTTTGTAGAAATATGTTTCGCTTAATCTAACCAAGACATGTAGCTTTACCATTTTTTTCAGAGAGAATAAATAATTAGCCTATTTTATCTTTCACCTCTCTTCACATTGATCTTCTTTTGTCTTTAAATGTTTCATCATAGGTCAGACTGTAGCTACAAAGTCAAAGAATGGCCTCAATCCTATAAAAATTCGCTGTAGTTTCACCT